TAAAATCTTAAAAAAAAAAAAAAAAAAGAACTGTTGGGGGCAACTTCAGGGATCAGCCCACAGTTCCTGCCTGCTAAACTCCCCTCCTCGTCACAAGAAACCTACCTGCTGGCAGAAGCTTGAGGCTGTAGAAGGGTGGTGGGTCTTCCTTCACTTCAGCTCCAAACACCAGCATCTACACAGCTTCTGTCTGGAGCAACTTTCATTATTTTTAAGAACAAAACCTTCCAGGATAGAAGTTTTGGCTCTGAAATACAAAATGCTGTTTTGCACCCTCCCTGGGGCAGGAAAGCCTGGCCTCAGAATGGCAAAGCTTGGCTCTTCCAAGTGGGTGAACTGTGGAATTTACTTTTTGACTTTCCGGTGATTGTAGAGGAGGAAGAACTATCTCCGTAGTCTCACTGGTTTGAACAATCAGCAAAGGGATGGGGTCCTGACAACAGTAGCTCTGAAGGCCCTGGGGGCAGTTAAGAGGTAGGTGGTTTAGCTGAACTCAGTCCCTTGGGACCCTGGGACCAGCTCCTTCCTCCTTCCTGCTCCCAAATGCCTTTCTGCTTGGCTCTGGAGTGGCGGGATGATGGGGATGTGGGTTTTGAGGCTGTCTCGGCAGCCTTTCTTCTGGGGCTTTTTTGGCCCAGCCCCAAATAGCAAGGGGCAGTGAGGTAAGCAGGGCTCTGGGCAGGCCCTGGAGGAATCAAGCAGCTGGTGGTACAGCCCCAGCGTGATAGACTGCTGATGAAGCTAGCCGGGAGCCCAGATACCTCCAGCATTCCCAGGCATCGCTGGGGATCCTAAGCATCTCTTGAATCATCACAAAATCGTTCACCTCTCTCGACTCTTGAGCAACTCTAGAGTAAGGCCTGTTTCTGGTAACTCTCTGTTGACTGTGTGAGGCTTAATCTGTAACAACTCTTTGCCCACTTCTTTCCCCCCACCCTGCCCCCGAATGAATTTTAATATCCTTTCTAGACTGAAGAGAGGACTAGCATTCCTAGAATATGATGGCTGTGAGAGACATACCAGAGCACCTCTCACACCTCTGTGCCTTTGCCCACATCTCTTACAACCCGTTTTGTCAGAATCCCACTGGTCTTCACAAATGCCGCTTCCTTCTGTTGGGTCTGACCCATGGTTCCACCTCCTGGCCTTCTCCAAGCCTGCCTTTAAAGCAAAATGATTCAGTAGACCAATCAGTTGTTGAGACCAGGATCCGTGGGCTACGTGACCCAATGGAAAAGATATCTTGAAATAGAACAAACATGATAAAAACCATGAGGAGAAAAGAAAAAAAACCATGGAGGACCATGGAGGATCCCGGAAATTAGGACAGTAAGGTCCTCAAGGAGAAAAACAGCTGGTGGGGAGCAGTGGTTTGGCGATAGCTCTGGAGTCCCTCCCTTGAAAAAGAATGCCACGGGGTGGCCCTGAGCTTTGTTAGAACTTGTGTGTACACATCTCTGCATTCTCCATTCAAATGTCATCGCCCCCGCATTTGAGGACTGGCCTCAGAGGCACAGGCTTTCTTGGGTGTCTTGTGAAAGAGGAAATGTCTCAGCTGCCTGATAACTAGTTGAAGACTTAAAAATAACCGTTAGCAACGGTGTCATCAGCCATCCGCACCCAAGAACAAAGGACAGAGTTAAAATCTGTGCTGAGAATGGAGGGAGCTTGCTGACAGTGTCGAGCAGAAGCGCACAGGGACTCCGTGGTGACTTGTCGCAAGGTGGGAAATGGTGGTGACCAGACTGTTGGTGGTAATCACCCTCGTGCAGGGGGCTCTTCGCTGATTTTTACTTTCTTCCCCATACTGTTAGGCATCCTTTTCTACAGTGGGCACATTTATATAATCAGAAAAAAAAAAAAGCCATTTTGCTATTTTCATTGTGAAGTGAGAACGGCAAGGTGTAGTAAGTAATGTGTCTATGGTATGATTCCTTTGTGCAAAGCCAGAATATATAAAAATAATTACATACACGGTGGGTTTTTCACAAACATTTTTTTTCCCCTGTAAGGTTTCATTAGAAACCTTATGGTTTCCTTTTCAGAAGAGGGACTGGGCAGGGTGGTCCTTGGGTTGGGTGGGTTAAATGTTTTTTTCATTTTGTGTCTCTTTTTAAAAAATATATCACCAGGGATTATCTTGTATGTGTGGAGAGATCATGATTCATTTTTTTTTCCTTCTTTTTGGCTCCCTGTATTATATATATATAAAATACATCTATATATATATATCTGTATTATATCTATATATCTGTAGATACATATTATCCCAAGTAAGTAATATATCTGTTTAACAAATGAAGGGCAGGGGGTAGAGTGTTCTTTCTGTTAAGGCCGGGGTACCAAGGTTGTGTGGTGGGCGTGTGTGGAGGGCGTGAGTAGGTGGTGTCTCAGGGAGGGGTGCAGAGGAGTCTGACAGCTGCCTGGAAGCACCTCCTGGCACACCTCTGGGGCTTGTGGTGTGACAGGGACCTTCAGGTGAGAGGCAAGTCCTGACTGGCTTTGCACTGTTTGGCCTGGCAGGAAGGGCGGGTGGGCGGCACCTGCCTTGGGCCTGGCAGCCACTTAGGTGGCCCCTGTGTGAGCCAGGAGAGAAAGCTGGGCAGCGGTGAGGGTCTTGGTAGAGGGGTTGGAGAAGTGGCTGTTTTCCAGAGCTACTTAGTGAGCACAGTGACTGACTGGGTTTGGCTGCGGGTGGGAGGGAGAAGGAGGGGTCTGGGATGACTCCTTTTTTCTCACTTTCCTCCCTGGATAGACTGACAGCCCTTCCCTGGGCAAGGGTACAGGGAGCAGGAACCAGTGGAAAGTGGGGGTGCAGTGAGCTCAGGGGGAAGGACACAGGGGTGGGTGGCAATGGGAATAGCCTGTGAGCACCAGAGCTCGATTGGGTCAGGAGGCTTGGGGGGCAGGTGGAGAGCCTGGACTGGAGGCCACGAGAGAAGGATTCACTTCTTCCAGGCTCAAAGAGGGAACAAGAGGAACCTGTCTTTTCCCACATCTGGCTCCTTCTCATCTTTCAGATCACAGCCGAAAGAAATGTCACCTCCCAGCGAGGCCTGACCATCCCATCCGAGTCAATCCTCTGTTATTTCCATCACAGCAGTGTGTACTTGCCTTCTTGCACTTTCCTGAGCTGTCCATCATTTGTTAACTTGTTTCTTTCCTTGAGTGCAGGCTCTCTGAAAGCAGGGATTTGTCTGTCTTGGTTACCTCTAAATTCATAGGCCTTAACGTAGTCCTTGGCACATAGTAGGTGCTCAGAACATATTTGTCGACTGACTGAATAAATGGATGACAGAAGTAGCAGAGAAGCTGGAGAAAACCAGAGGAAGTTGAAGAGAGCCAGTGTGTGGTCTCAGTACCTTTGAATCTCTCAGTGAGACATGGAGCAAAGAACAGAATCAAGTATCTCTTGGATTTGGCAAGAGGAGGGCCCTGGTGACCTTGGCGAGAGCAGGGGAGAGTGGGGCTGCGAAATGGTGGCTGTGATTCAGAGATCCTCCTCCTGCCAACCACCTCCCAACCACCCAGGACAGTGTCTTCTTTTATTTTTTTGCCTCCCCTGCCAGGGGTGGAGTGGTTAGGTGCAGGTGGATAGCCAGCGGACAGCTTATGCTGAGTGGGCAGAGAACTATAGTTTACCTGTATGGTCCTAGGTGATGCACTTAGCCTCTCGATGCTTTAGTTTCTTTATCTGTGCAATGGGAATGGTAACAAGATTTAATGCACATACAGAGTGTACCAGCGTGGTGCCTACAGGCAGCTCTTAGTAGTTGTGGTTTGTAATGGTTTCATAATCAGCCTGGGCATGGCCTTTTCCGGGGCACCTCCTCTGATAACCTTCTGGAAGAGATACATCTGCACTGTCCATAGGTGACAAGGACCTGCCTAGGCTGGGCCACATTTCTGGTGTCAGAGCTGCAGGTGGGCATGTCTGTCATGGATTGGCATGTGACAGTGAGCATCTGCTTTGGCAGGTGTGGGGACCTAGGGGCCCCGGCCACAGGTGTCTGCTGTAGGCACCTGGGGCCTGTGGGGAGAGGGGGTACTCACCTGAGGTGTCTTTCCAGAACCCTGACCTGGACTCAGAGGCACTGCTGGCCCTGCCCCTGACTCAGCTGGTGCAGAAGTTACACAGTGGGGAGCTGTCCCCTGAGGCGGCACTCTTCACCTACACCGGAAAGGTAAGGCCCTTGTTGCCAGGGATCCTCCCTCTCTCTGCAAAGGCTGTGGGGAAAACCTGGCCTGGAGTTTGTCTCTCTAAGGGTGGGGGGGGCGGGGACCACAGTGCCAGGGGCTGCCAGGAGCTGCATGAGAGAAAGAGAGAGAGAGAGAGAGAGGAGCTGCCTCTGTGTGTGTGTTTGTGTGGGGGCGACACTGAGCATGTTGTCTTAGCTAGAAGCCTGGCTTGCAGCCCAGACTTCCCTCTCCCTCCCGCCTCCACCCCGTCGGTCACCAAGTGTGGTCTGTTCTCTTTCTATAGCTCTCTCCAGTCCAACCCCTTGTCCCCATCCCCCCAGCAGCCACCCTGGTCCTCCACCACCGTCTCCCTCCACCATGGAGCGCCAGCCTCCTGCCGGATGCCCTCTCAGGTCTCCAATTCTTCAGACTCTGCTCTTCTGCTCCCCTTCAGTCTCCAGCATCCTGTCTGGCCAAGGCCTTCAGAGGGTGGTTCCCTGGCACCCAGAGCCTGCCACGCCGAGCCCTGCCTTGTGCAGGATTCCCTTTTCCTGGAAGGTTCTTCTCCCTCTTCTTTGCCCCACTTGGGGTAACAGCCACCACCCACTGAACCTTCTGGGCTCAGAGAAGGAGGCCCTCTTCCAGGGAGTTAAGGTTCCCTCTTCAGCGCTCACTTTTTAACACATTTCTCTTGGCCTTGTTGCGCTCGCCTTGTCCTCTTTCCCCTGTCAACGCGGGGCCCCTTGTGGACAGAGCTTGTCTCATTTGTCTTCATACTTAGTGCTGGACACTGTGTCTTTCATGTAGTAAGTGTTCCAGGCATCTGTTTGAAATGAAATGAAGGAAAGAGTTGTGCTTTATGAGTTGCCTTGCTTGTGGTTTCTTGAAACAGAGTGTGATGGGCGTGGGTGACAGCGGGGGTGAGCTCAGCCAGCTGAGCAAGGGGGAGGGAGAGGGAGCCTGACTACGCAGGGAAGACCCCAAGCTCCTGCACTGGATGCCCCAGGGGACACTGGCAGGCTCAGCAGACTGTGCTTTGTCTCCTCATTCGGGTGTCCCTGAAAAGTGGCTGCCCTTCCTAATCACCCACAGATTTCATGTGCCGAGGTGTGGCAGCGGGGCCCACGCCCATTTTCCTCAGATGTGTCACAGGGACAGGAGTATTTGCTGAAAGCCATACATTGTTCTGCCCTGGCCTGCCCTCCCATAGGGCACTGCTGAGTGTGGTTGGAGGGCTATGGAGAGGCCCCAGGGCAGGTGGTCCCCATTAGTGCATCATTTCCTTTTAGGCAAGCTCCCACCCCTTTAAATGATTGGTGTCAGTCAGTCACTCCTCCATGTGACTTGCTTATCAGATTCAAGAGTTTCTGGGGGGAGGGGAGGCTTGGCTGGTGCCGTGTGGGCCAGGCCTGGGGCAGGAAAAAACCTGCTGGCCTCTGGGAGGCTGGAACCTGGGTCTAGCCCTGCTCTGTGCTGACTCCCAGCATGACCTGAGATGGGGATCTGCCCCTGTCTGCTTCACTGACAGAGATGTGGCTTAGAGGCCAAAGGTCATCTTCCTCCCAGCTCATCCCCTCTGGGGAGCATCCGAGGCCAGTGTCTTGCTCCTTTGGGTACCTTGGTTGTGCCCTGGCCCTGGAAGTACTCTCTCCATCTTGGGGTTGAGGCCAGAGACTGCCAGGGTGAGGCTGGGGCTGGATGTCCTTAGTGAGGTGAGTTGCTGGGCCCTAGATTATTCTCTGTGCTCCTGGCTCTGGGCCATGTGGCTGGTTAACCTTTCCCTGGGTATCCTTTAAAAGGCCAATTTTATATAATGTATATTCGACCACAATTAAAAACAAAAGGCCAATCTCACTCTGCTTTGTGTCCATTTCTCCCTCCTCCAGGCCTGGGAAGTAAACAAAGGGACCAACTGTGTGACCACCTACCTGGCAGACTGTGAGACTCAGCTGTCCCAGGCCGCACGGCGGGGCCTGCTCTATGGCGTCCCTGTGAGCCTCAAGGAGTGCTTCAGCTACAAGGTGCGCCCTGCCACCTCTCGGACTCCAACCCTGCGCCCCTGTCCCTGCCAGCCGGCTCTGCCTCCTGGGTTACCCCGGGCCCTAGGAGGAAGTATCGGGTCCCGAGGCCTTGAGAGGGGCCCTAGGTGTGTGCCCCGCCTTGGCCTGTGAGACAGCGGGAGGAGGGGACCCTCTGCTGCTGAAGGGCCCCCCTGAGCCGTCAGCCACACCCCTCTTGGTGCCTGTCCCTCCCTCTAGGGCCAGGACTCCACGCTGGGCTTGAGCGTGAACGAGAGCGCGCCCGCAGACTGTGACAGCGTGGTCGTGCGGGTGCTGAAGCTGCAGGGCGCTGTGCCCTTCGTGCACACCAACATCCCTCAGTCCATGTTCAGGTGGGCTTGGGGGCGGGGCGGGGCAGGGGCGCTGGCCCCAGTGTGACCCAGGCTGACCCGTTCCTGCTTTCCCCAGCTATGACTGCAGTAACCCCCTCTTTGGCCAGACCTTGAATCCGTGGAAGTCCTCCAAAACCCCAGGGGGCTCCTCTGGGGGTGAAGGAGCCCTCATTGGGGCTGGAGGCTCCCCCCTGGGCTTAGGCACTGACATTGGAGGCAGCATCCGCTTTCCCTCGGCCTTCTGTGGCATCTGTGGCCTCAAGCCCACATCAAACCGCATCAGGTATGGTGTGGGGGGTGGGTGGGAGGAGCTTTCCAACCTCTCTAGGCCCCAGGGAGGGATTCCCTCACTGGGGTTTTGCTGGGGGCGGGGAGCGTCCCAGCACCACTGGCTTTGGTTCCTAGTTTCCAAAGTGGTGAGAGTTCTAAGCTGCTGTATGGGTTTGGGGTTGGGCAGAGGGTGACCATTTCCTGTTTCCAACATCTTGTGTTTCTTATCCAGCAAGAGTGGCCTGAAGGGCTGTGTCTATGGACAGGTAGCAGGTGAGGTCTGGGGTTCCCTCAGTGCCCTGGAGGGGGGGGGGTCTGCCTGATCCACCTCTATCCCTGCCTCTCCCTCTCGGCGGGGGGGCAGTGTTTGACTCTCAGGCTGGTCTAGATCTGAGTTCCTACCTCCTTGTCTCTGCTCACACTCCTGGGCCATGGCCCAGCCCTCGCTTGGACCCGGCCCCAGAGCCCATTAGAGCAGGGTAATCTCTCTTCCTTCCCCTCCCTGCCCCCACAGTGCAGCTCTCAGTTGGCCCCATGGCCCGGGACGTGGAAAGCCTAGCACTGTGCCTGCGAGCACTGCTGTGTGAGGACATGTTCCGCTTGGACCCCACTGTGCCCCCGCTGCCCTTCAGGGAGGAGGTGAGCAGGGCTAGGGATGGGCGTGGGGTTGAGTTTGGTTATTGCTGGTGCTCCTGAGCCCAGAGAGCAGCCCCAGGCAGCATGCTCAGGCCTTGGAGGCTCTGTCTCTTGAAAACCACCCCCAGGGGTCTGAAGCCAGGCTCAGCTGCTGCTCCACAGACAGCCACCAGATGGAGCCCTTGCCCGCCTGTGGCGACTTGGGGCCTTTCAGGCTGGCCTGGGAAGCCTCTGGGGAGAAAAGTTCCCACCTTCTGGTCTCAGCCTTTTCTGCCGGCTCTGAGAGACAGGACTCCCTTCTCAGCCCGAGAACCACTTGAGGGAGAACTAGGGTGTTTCTTGGCAGGCAGGAGATCTAGGCTGGATGGTATGAGCTCCCCCTCCTTGGCAGAGGATATTCTAACAACCCAGTGGTTTCAGAAGCCCTTCCTGAGAGGGAGGAGAGGACGAGATGAGGTCCCTGTGATGCGGTCTGGAACGAATTATCATGGGAGCCAGGACTTGCAGTCTTGAAACAGGCAGTGGAGGGCCTCAACTCAGGGGACAGGTTACCTGGGTTCTGGACCTAGTGTTGTCAGTCTGCACGGGGTGGACTGGGACGAGTCCCAGCCCCACTCCAGGCCCCTTTGCCTATCTCCCTATCTAGACCTGAAGCCTCAGTTTCATATATGGCCAGTGGGAATCCTCATCTGTTCCAGCCCCTTCTGCAGAGTGATTATGAAGGGGTTTTGTGAAAGGGTCAGATGCAGAAAGGGCCGGCCTCTCAGGCACTTAGTTTTCAGGGATCCAGGCTGCAACCTCTCAGCTGTGTCTGGGGCTGAGTAGCTTCTCTGATTTCTGGGAGCCCAACTTTGGGCCGCTCTCTCTTCACCTGATTCTGACTCCAGGGTTTTGCCCCCCAGGTCTACACAAGCTCTCGGCCTCTGCGTGTGGGGTATTATGAGACTGACAAGTATACCATGCCCACCCCGGCCATGAAGCGGGCCGTGCTGGAGACGAAGCAGAGCCTTGAGGCTGCTGGCCACACGGTATGGCCGTGGGGACCCCGAAGCCCTGGTATGGCCCCTCCTTCAGGGAAACCTTCCTGGTACCTGTGGCTGCCACCGGTCCCCAGTGTCCTTTCACCCTGATTGCTTTGTGGTTGGGACGGGAGCGATGTCGCTGTGGGACCCGTGGATAGAGGGCTGATCATGAGTGTTAGGTTTCGCGCTGGATGGTGAACTCAGCCCTGTGCTGGGGATGAGTGAGCGCTGCCCTGGGAGGCTCCCGTCAACCACAGACAATGGTGCACGGCTGTCCAGAGGTTCCCACCATCCTGGTGGGCCAATGGGTTTTAGTCTGCTCATCTGAGACAAGTTTATGTGTGGCTTGACTTCTCTCACGATGTGCATTTTAAGGGAATGTTCATGGGTCAGTTAGGTGGCCTCTGTGGCTCCATTGAGGGCTGCCATGGTGGCAGGGTTGGTCCGGTCCCTCCTCAGGGCTGCCTGGGCAGCATGGGGATTGTGGGAGCCAAGGGTTTCTAGGTGTGGGGACCTTACACCCCTCATTCTCGCAGCTGGTTCCCTTCCTGCCAAGCAACATACCCCGTGCTCTGGAGACCCTGTCAACCGGTGGGCTGTTCAGTGATGGAGGCCACAGCTTCCTGCAGAACTTGTGAGTGATGTTGGACTTTGGGGTCTGGGGTGGGGTCCAGGACATGGGTAGACCCAGGGAGAGCAGCTGGGTCCTGTTACTCCCAGGATGGGCCGCTCTGGGAGAAGTTGGGGGAACAGGCCTCAGTTGAACACAAAGAAGGTCAGAGCATTCTGGGCAGGGACCTCACCACCCCTCTAGCTGTGCAGATGGAGCCTGGAGATCCCTGGCACTTTAGAAAGGTACCAGCTCGAGGGGAGGCTGGATTGAGCAGAGCTCAATCGATGAAAACTCATTGGGAGGTAGGGGGTGGGCAGGGGAGTTGCTTGTCTATTTGGGAAAGATTGAGAGACAAGGGCAGGGTGAAGCAGGACAGGAGAGGTCTAGACATCATGCTGTGACTCCAGGCTCTTCTGACTTGAGCCGGGCCCACCTTTTGAGTAGTTTTCTCCTCTGTAGAGTGGGTGGGTTGGATCAGACCTACTTTAAGGGACTTTGCAGTTTATTTTTTTATAGCTCTTTTTAAAAAGATTTTATTTATTTATTTGACAGAGAGAGAGAGAGAGAGAGATCATAACCCGGGGGAGAGGCAGAGGGAGAGGGAGAAGCAGGCTCCCCACTGAGCTCCCCACAGGCGCCCCAGAGCTCATGTTTAGAGAAGCTGGTTCCACTTAGAAGCTTTCAGTCCTTAAGGGTTGACAGGGGTGCAAGACCTCTGAAGGTACCCCCTGCTGATGTGCCTGGGCTGACTGGACCTCCTCTTATAGCTGACTTTGGTCCAGGCTTCAGCAGGAGGGGCTGCCCCTCACTCTGGCCCTGGGAATGAAGCCCTCGGGTCGGCCTCCTGAGACCCTTCTCGGAGCTCTAGAGCTAGAGACAGCCTCAGAAGTAAGAGTCATGGCGGCTCCACTTGTCTCTCTAGGCTGGCGTCGGCATCAATAGGGGATGCCCTCAGTGTCAGGCCCCCGCCTGGGAAATGTTGCCTTCACTGAGTCCTTATTGCTTTGAGCTGAGTGTACCAGGGAGGGAGACGCGGAGTCCTGCCTTGGGAAGCTCCAGTGGGTATGGAGTGGAGTCCAGGCGTCCCAAACGATCAGCAGAAACAAGTCACATGTCTAAAAGGAGGCAGATAGGGGCGCCTGCGTGGCTCAGTCAGTTAAGTGTCTGCCTTCAGCTCAGGTCAGGATCCCGGGGTCCTGGGATCGAGTCCCATGTCAGGCTCCTTGCTCAGCGGGGAGTCTGCTTCTCCCTCTGCCCTCCCCCCACTCATGTGCACTCTCTCTCTCTCTAATAAATAAAATCTTAAAAAAAAATAAAAACTAAGTAAAAGGAGGCAGATAGGGGTGCCTGGCTAGCTCAGTCCATACAGTATAGGACTCTTGATCTTGGGGTTGTGAATTCGAACCCCACATTGGGTGTAGAGATTACTTAATGAAAAAAAAAGGAAATCTTAAAAAAAAAAAATGAAAGGAGGCAGATGAAGGGGTTGGAGAGCAGTGGTTGCCAGAGTCTGGTGAGGAGGGAGTGGAGGGGGTGTCACGGAATAGATGACACTGAGCTGCGGGTGCTGTGGATGGGGGCAAGCCAGGAGGGAGGCCTGGGGAGGGAGTGCTGGATTGGACCCTTTGTCTCCCAGCAAAGGTGATTTCGTGGACCCCTGCTTGGGAGACCTGATCTCCATTCTGAAGATGCCAAGGTGGTTGAAAGGACTGCTGGCTTTCGTGCTGAAGCCTCTGGTGAGGGCACAAGGAGCGGAGGGCTGCAGTGGGCTGGGATGGAGCCTCTGGGGCTCTTCCCCTCGCCTTAGCCTCTCTTGGTTTGGGCACGCATGGCCTCCTCTTCTCTCCAGCCCCTACCCAGACTCCTGTCCTCTCCCCATGCCCTGCAATCTTCAGCCAGCCGCATGCTGAAAGAGGAGCTACCCGGGGGCCTGGGGGAGGGACAGAGGGAAGAGGCACAGGTAGCTTGGCCTGAAGAACACTGTTGTCTGCACTCAGCCCAGAACTGAGTCACTGACGCTGTGTTTGTCCTCTGGCAGCTCCCAAGGGTGGCAGCTTTTCTTAACAGCATGAAGCCCCGGTAAGGACATTTCCTGTGCCTAGATCCTGCCCCCCTCTTCCCTGTCCCCTGACCTGGGGTTAAGTGGTTTCTGACGGGAGGAGCTGAGGGAAGTCACTTCTGAGGCTGGAAGTGGCCCAGCCGGGGTGGCAACCTCCGTGGCTTTCAGATGGGACCTTGAAGTTTGTCTTCTCAGGGTCCAGGTCTGGCTAGAGGGGAGGGGCCTGAAGGAGATCACGGGATGAGACAGGGTGGGGAGGAGAAGACCTGGCGAGGTGAGGGTAGAAAGGACCAGGAAAGGAAGCATTGGGGAGGCCCAAGAGAGAGGGGGTTACTGGGGAACCCATGAGAGACGCTGCTCTTGGAGGTCTGACGGGAACTGAGCTGCACTGGATCCTGCCGCCCCCTCAGTGGCCTGGGTGGGAAAAGCAGGCCATAAATGGCCTCATTATTAGGCCCTGACATCCTGCGAACTTGCCTCTTCTCTCACTGCCAGGCATTTAGGACCTTTGACAGCTCTGGTCTCTCTGGTATCCTAAGGGTCATTGCGAATTGGGCCTGACCTTGGCCTGGCTCTGCTGTAAAGTCACTAAGTGACACAGTCTAAATCCCTCTGGGGGCGTGATTTTCTCCACAGGACATGAACTTAGGGATTTGAACTTCTTTCCGTGCTACTTCCCTCTTGGAGCTCCCCTAGTTGAGAAGGGGCCATGGAGGAGTGAGATCTGGGAGGTGTTAAGAGTAGGGGTCTGATGTTGCTACTCCCCATGGCTGTGACCTTGATGGGCAGTGACCTCCTTTCCTCTGCCCAGGTCGGCTGGCAAGCTCTGGGAACTGCAGCACGAGATCGAGGTGAGGCCAGAGCCCCTAGACTAGAGTCGGGCGGGGTATGGGGTGGAGCTGGACAGGGCACCTGCCAGTGGGATCTCTTAGCCTTGGGTCCCCTGGGCCCCTGGAGTGGCCTGTCATTCCGCCTTCCATTCCCTGGACTGGTCTGCTTGGGCCCTGCTCTCTGATCCTCACTCGCCTGGGTGCTCACCCTTGGGGGCTGGGTCAGTCTGCGGCTCCTGTCCTGGATGCCTCTCTGCCGCTGCCCGCCCCCCCTCCCCCCCCCAGTGCTGTTGGGAACTACGTGGCCTTGCCCTGGCAGGCAAAATGATGTCTGCAGTTCATGTGGGATGTAGAACAATGGAGGTCTCCCGGAAGCAGCCGTGCCTGTGTGCCCCGAGGACCTCCATCCCAGTGTGGCTTAGTCCAGATGCGGGGGCAGGTGCTGGGGCCAGAGCCACTCCAGCCACAGTCCCTGCATTGAAGAGTCCTTCCGAGGCGCTGGGTCTGAGGGCTTCCCCCTGCTGTGCTGGCATCCTCCCAGGTGTACCGCAACTCCGTGATTGCCCAGTGGAGGGCGCTGGACCTGGACGTGCTGCTCACCCCCATGTTGGGCCCTGCTCTGGACCTGAATGCCCCAGGCAAGGCCACAGGTGAGGTCTGCTGCCCCTGCACACACCTCGGACACTCCCACCTGCTTCTCCTCTTCTGTGAGTTCAGCCCAGTGCCCGCAGGCTGCCGGGAAGTACAAGCCTTGGCGGAGGGCTGCACCCCTTGGGGAGGGCCCCGCCCTTGGGGAGCTCACAGTCTGACTGGCTGGAGAGATGGGAGTCATCTGGGATGTTCTGCGAGGGAACAGGCTCCCTGTCCTCAGCACCACTGAAGTGGGAGGTCTTGAGTTATGGAGCCTACAGTTTGGGGAGGTGGGGTTTAAAGTACTGGTGGGATTTAGAAAAGCCGAGAAAAATAGGAACAACGGTCCAGGTGGGGAAGCTTCCTGGGCAGAGGCACAGGGCAAGCTCCAGCAGGCTTTCCAGCCTGCCGGGAATCTGGATTCCTGGGCTTTGTCACCCACTCAAATCTGGGCTCTGGGAGAGAGCCTCTCCCTGCCCGTGGGGGCAGGGCGCCATCTCCCAGGGCCGTGCGGAGGGTCGCAGGGTCGCTCTAGCTGCCTGTGGTGCCTTTCAGGGGCCGTCAGCTACACTCTGCTCTACAACTGCCTGGACTTCCCCGCGGGGGTGGTGCCTGTCACCTCGGTGACCGCAGAGGATGAGGCCCGGATGGAGCATTACAGGGGCTACTTTGGGGATATCTGGGACAAGGCGCTATGGAAGGTGAGACCACAGGGCCTGGCCTGGCCCCTGGGCCCCCCCCCTTGCCCTGGACACCCACCCACACCCAACTCTGGCCGCTGGGAAGGAAGCAGCATAAGCATGAGTAGTCCTTGCCTCCCCTCCCCTCCCCATTGAGTAAGCTCTATACCCAACATGGGGCTCAAACTCACAACCCCAAGATCAAGAGTTACATGGTCTACTGAGTGAGCCAGCCAGGCGCCCCCTTGCCGGCCCTCCTTGATGCGAAACCCCCCAAAAGACTGCAGCCTGGCTCTGCTGTGCTGCCGCTCCTCTCCAGCTGGGGTGCGTCCTGGTCCCTGGTGGGGGCCTGCCTCCACTGCCTTCCACCCTGATGCCTGTGTCCCCTGCAGGCCACGAAAAAGAGCGTGGGGCTGCCCGTGGCCGTGCAGTGCGTGGCTCTGCCATGGCAGGAAGAGTTGTGCCTGCGGTTCATGCGGGAGGTGGAGCGACTGATGAGCCCCGAGAAGCGGCCATCCTGACTGCTGCCTGCCTGCCGCCTGGCTCCGGAGGGCCCCAGACCGTCTCGATCTGCACCCAGCCTCGTGTGGGCGTAGCGGCCGCCCTGGGAGGAAATGTTCGGCCGGGAGCAGAGACCTCCATGTCCCCCTCCCCCGATCCCCTACAAGAAGCACAGACCCCCTGAGTCTGGACCTTGCTCCCCATTCTGGTCCCCTCCCTCTGCCCTGACATACACCCCCCCTCCCATGTGGCAGCCAGTGGGTAAGATATGGGCAGAGGCCCATTAACAGTCAAGAAATGTTTCTAGTCTATATTTTCTGGCTGGCATTGTTAGGGCACTGGGGGTTGAGCCCTACTCCGGCCTTGGCAGTCTCCTGGTTCCCAACCCTCACAGGAGCCTTGCAGCCCCAGCACCTCCCCCTCCCCTGCTCCCCCTACTTAGACTAAGACCTTTTTTGCTAGGCATTGCCCTTCTCTTCTTTCTTTGCTCCTTTCCCTCTGCCGAGGATGCCCTTTCTGCTCCTCTGCCATTAAATCCTTTGAGGCCCTCCTCAGATCCCTCTTTCTCGAGAAGGCCTTCCCTCCTTCCTCTGAGCCCTGGAATAGGTGGGCTCTTTCTTTCCAGTCTGTCCTGTGTGGTGGGCATCTGTGGGAGGGTTTGCCTTTCTCAGGACACTGGCTCTCCTTGACTGCAGGGACCCTAATGCTGTATCTTTGTCCTTAGTGGCCCGCACGGGGCTAGGCGCAGGGCAGCCGGGAGTCTGGAGTGCTGGCCATGAGGTGGTGCTGTTGGGGGCGAGGGGGCCCTAGGCCTCGGGAAGGGAGCATGAGACAAGGCGATCTGGTAGAGAGCACTCACAGGGCCGGCCAATGACTGGTTTGTTCTAGGAAGGCTTCCTGAAGGAGGAGGACCTGGGTTGAGTGTGGAAGGTTCCCAGAAGCTGAGATGGGAGTAAGGACATCCCAGGGAGAAGGAGCCATACATCCAGAGACCATGATGAGTTCAGTAGACAGAGGTGTTGAATGGGCAAAGGAGAAGCAGCAGAGATGTAGGTGGAGGCCAAATCAAGGTGGACTTTGGGCGTCAGTTCAGGAATTTGAATCCTGTCTCAGGGCAATGGGGAGCTGTTAAAGGATCACACAGATGCAGCGATGAGAGTAGCCTGGGTAGAACAGAGCCTGGAGAGGGACAAGGAGGCTGCTCCATGATCCTAGTCTGGGGAAAGGGGCCTGGGGCCTGAGCTAGGGCCATGGCCCAGGGGTAGGGAGAGAGGTGGTTTGGGAATTGACAGTTGGGATGGAAGTGAGCAGTCTCTGCTCAGAGTCTCACCTTTGCCCCATCTGCCAACCTCCCTCTTCCATGACTGTGTTGCCTGTGACTAATCTGGGGGCTTCTTGGTCCCCTTAAGCAAAGTTTACTCTCCCCTGGCCCCAGCCCTAGCTCCCCTGTTTATCGTAGAGGACGTTTCTGACCCTCGGGTCGGGCACACCCCCTGGTTCTGCCTGGCTCTCTTCAAATTCTTTTCAGGGCAGGCTGCCTTCCCAAGGCTTCCTTCTCCTTCCTGACTTTCCTACTCCTTCAGAGGGGCATTTCCTTCCGGGTTACATGCCCAGTGGTCCCTGCACTGTCTGACAGTGGTGTCCCCGCCTCAGTGGGACCGGTTTCAGGGTAGACGCGAAGGGCTGATCAGAGGGCCTAACTTAACACAGACACCTAGATCGGCTGGCCAGGTCGTTGAACTTGCCCAGATTCCTTGTAACTACTGTGTCATTTTGCCTCATATCATTCCATAGAATCATCTGTACCCGCCCCACCCCCCAGCTTCTTACTCCTGCCCTGTTTCTCTCTTTGGTTACTAATATCCTTGTGCTTTTTTTTTTTTTTAATTTTTAAAAGGATTTATTTATTGGGGGGGGCACCTGGGTAGCTCAGTTGGTTAAACGTCTGCCTTTGGCTCAGGTCATGATCCCAGGGTCCTGGGATTGAGCCCAGAGTCTGGCTCCTTGCTCAGCGAGGAGTCTGCTTCTCCCTCTCCCTCTGCCCCTTCCCCCCACTCATGCTTCCCCCCCATAAATAAATAAAATCTTAAAAAGATTGCTTATTTTAGAGAGAGAGTGCACATGCATAAGTGGGGGGGTGAGGCAGAGGGGGAGAGAGAGAATCCTCAAGCAGGCTCCCCACTGAGTAGGGAGCCCAGTGGGGTGGGAAGGAGTGGGGGAGGGCTGGATTCCAGGACCCTGAGATCAAGACCTGAGCCGAAATCAAAAGTCAGACGCTTAACTGACTGAGCCACCCGGGCACCCCAATATCCTTGTGCTCTTAGACACAAGGCTGTAGCGCGGGGGGGGGGGGGCTGTCCTTTTCCCTTCCTGCTTCACCGCGTCACCCTTTGAGCCCCAGCATGGCCTTGCCCAGCCCCGTGCTCCCCGGTGCTGGTGCTCTACCAGGCCTGACCCATCCTTGAGAGGCTCCGGGGCTTATGGGGGTGGTTGGACATTAACACAAACACATCTGCTCCCTGGGGGATCAGGGCTTGGGGAAAGGTTAGACGAGGAGGCAGATGCTGCCGAGGGGCGGGGGAGGTAGGCGCTGGGGCCGGTGAGGGACCAGAGAGGGCCCAACCCACATGGACGCCCAGATGGGGATGGCCAGGTAGCTGTTTGATTTTGTCCTGAATCCTTGGAACTGCTGTGTCAATTTGTCTCCTGTCATTCCATAAAACCACCTGCCTCTACTTTTTTCCTTCTCTTGCCCCGGTTCTCTCTTTGGTTACTGATATCCTTGTGCTCTTAGACACAAGGCTGTAGGGGGGGTGCCTGTCCTCTTCCCTTCCCTGCTTCACCGCGTCACCCTTCGAGCCCCAGCGTGGCCTTGCCTAGCCCCGTGCTCCCTGGTGCTGGGGCTCCACCAGGCCTGACTCCCATCCTTGAGAGGCTCCGGGGCTTATAGGGGTGGTGGGACATTAACACAAACACATCTGCTCCCTGGGGGATCAGGGTTTGGGGAAAGGTTAGACGAGGAGGCAAACGCTGCCGAGGGGCGGGGGAGGTGGGCGCTGTGGCCGGTGAGGGACCACTGTGCTCCATCTCCATCACTACCTAGCACTCGAGTCCTGCTCCTCCCGTCCTCTGGACAGTGCGGTGACCTAACTGGGCTTCCCTGCCTCCATCCGCACCTGTTCCCCGGTCCACTTTCCATGCAGTTGCCAGAGGGAGGCTTTGAAAGTGTAAATCAGATCGAGTCACGTGTTTCAAGGCCTAATGGCTTCCCATCCCACCCAGAATAAAATCCAGTCCCCTCCTTGTGTCTTACGAGGCTCTGTGGGACATGGCCCTTGCTTACCTCTCCAGCCTCTAGCGTGTCTCTTCCTCTCATTCATTGTGTTCCAGCCACACGAGCACCTTTCCGTTTCTGGATCATCTCCAGCTGGTGGCACCTGCTTCAGAGCTTTTGTGTTATACGGGTCCCCTCTGCTTGGAACACTTCTTTGTGCTTCTGTCCATACTCCAAAGCAGGGGCCGTGTCTTAATAATAGAATCCAACATCTGTTAGCCTGTGGAGTTGATAACCCATTATCCCATTGGAAAAAAATGGGCATTATTACTTCCATTTGCTAGGTGGGGAAACAAGTTTAGAAACGGTTGCTAATTTGGCCAAGGCCAAAGACTTACACAGAGATTTGAAGCCACTAAGCCAAACTTAAGATACTTTGCTCATTTGCACAGTCATCCCAGGCACATGCACTAAACATCCCAGGGTATCAGGTTCTGGGCTCGGTGACCACAAACACTGGAGACAGAAGCAAGGTCCATTCACGGGGCTCCTCTGCTAGGTGTATATCTCCAGGAGGTTCTGTCAGATCATCGTCCACCCTCCCTTCCCCTCCCTGGGGTTGCGATCGTTGGAGTTTAGGACACTGTGAGAATACCTGCTATTTGTCCCTGTTAAGCAGCATCTTCTAGGGTCATCCCAGGGCTTTAGCCTATTGAGAGCCTTTGGGATCCTGGCCATGTTGGCCACTCTTTCTGCTCTGCCTCTCAGCTTGTCCATCCACAGGTATGAGCACTAGACCTCTTTAACTTCATCTAAGTCACCAATAAATATATTGATCGGATCAGGGCCAAGGAAAGACCCTGGGGTGTGTCACTCCAGGCACACACCAGGGCAATCTGATCTGCCATACCCTTAAGAGACACCCACATAATCAAGTCCAGAGCGTACCAGCCCGCCTAGGCTGCCCCCTCCTCATGTTTCCCACCACAGAGTTTGAGAGTGGTAACCCTGGGTGTCTTAGGCCGGGGAGGCCATTTGGGGTCGGGGTGCGTGGGATTTGCTCTTATGTGTCCAGTACCCACCAAGGTGCCTGGTACTCAGTAGGTACCCAGTGAAGGCTTGTTTTGTTTTTGTTTTTTTTGAGAGAGAGTAAGTGGGGGAACGGGGGGCAGAGGGAGAGGGAGAGAGATAATCCCAGGCAGGCTTCACACCCAGTGCAGAGCCTGACACGGGGTTTAATCTCACAATCCTGAGATCACGACCCTGAGATCACGACCTGAGCTGAAATCAAGAATTAGATGCTTAGCCAACCGAGCCACCCAGGCACCCCCTCTTTTTTTTTTTTATGAGAGAGACTTAAGCATGTTAAATGCTGCTAGGAAGGAGCCAGCAGAAACACGTAGAGGAAAAGGTGGGAATGAAGGGCTCAACCACCTATCATTCCTCCATTTAAAAAGTATTACCAAGCACCTGCTCTGTGCCAGGCATTTTGAAAAGGGCTGACAAGGTCCTTGCTTTTTTTTTTTTTTTAAAGATTTTATTTATTTATTTGACAGAGAGAGACATAGCGAGAGCAGGAACATGAGCAGGGGGAGTGGGAGAGGGAGAAGCAGGCTTCCCGCGGAGCAGGGAGCCCAATGCGGGGCTTGATCCCAGGACCCTGGGATCATGACCTGAGC